TTGGAGTTGAAGGCTGAAGCTGAGTTTCGACAGTAGTCGAAACGGTCACTGATGGATTATCCTAAAAATTTTTATCAAAGACGTAAGTCACGATACGAGTCTCATTAAAAGATAAGACAAAAGTCAGAAAGAAAAAGGAAACTCACGTGACTGGAATGGGTGACGGGTGTTGTTTGACCCGTAGAGGGAACGGTGTTCGAACCCATCGACAATGGATCTACCGTAGGTGGTTGGACTGGTCGGGGGCTCTTTGATTTTTTCTGTGGGATAGAAATCGAAAAAGGGTATAAGTATCCATAAAGAAACATGTTATAAACAGAAAAATGATAAGACAAAAGAGATCAAAAAGTACCTTCGATTTTTTCGAAGATGAAGTAGTGGTGGTGGCCGATTGTTTTCGTTTCCGAGTAAAGGCCAGAGGGTCCGACTCGTCTGGGGACTCCCAGCTTGTTTCCTTCTCCTTCTCTTGCGCCTTTTCGAAGGCAACTGCTTTGGTAGATTTTGCAACTGTCGAGGAATGAAGATAGTTAATTTTCAAAACATAGAATCGAAAATTAAGGAAAAACAGTAAAACCTCACCAAAAGGTGATGGAGTCAAGATTTTGACTCGATCAATATGCACTAGCCAAGGAGGCAGTAGAGCTTCAGGGAGGTGAAGGTAAGGGAAGTAAAATAGTCTCGATACAGTGATATCTTTATTTTTTGGTTTGGGACGTAAGGTTTCTTTCGAGGTTCTCAGTTCTCGAACCCATTTAGGGTGTGTTAAAGGTTTGGCAACTCCAAAGGGAGCATTGGGAAAAGTAGGAAGGCGATTGGGACAATATATTTCAAAAGGGGTCTTCCCTAAGGGATTGATTATTTTACGATCGGTTCGATTAGCGGTGGTTTTGTGAGACAGGGAAATAACAGCGTCATAAAAGGTCGATTCTAATCTCAGTGGGTTGTAACATATTTGATAAAAATGTTCGAATCGAGTTATTTGGAGATAGTGGGAATGTTTACCTTTCTTCGCCTTCGATTTGTCCTGCAACACAAGAGAAGGGTGAGCAGTCAGTCTCTGTTGAACTTCATCGAAAGCAACGTGACTACTCGAGAACCAACTGGTCCACCATTGAGAAAAACCCATAGTAGACAAATAATTTGACTCGAAAGCATAGGGGTAAAAATGTATCGGGGTTTTTGGTAAAAGTTTGATAAGCTCCCGATTAAGTGAAGATTCAGTTAACTTGGACTTGAGGGATGAATCGAGGGGGAAAAAAGGTAGGGATTGGCTTAGACCAAACTGCCTCGAGAGAAACTGCGGGTAATAGGTAATAAACCTGAAATCCTTAGGCTGAAAACCCGATAATAATATATCATGGGTCAAATAACTACTCCATATGTCGATCAGCTCCAATTGCAACCCGGGAGACGAAGCAGGGAACTTTGATTTAAACCAAACTGGTCCCCTAAGTTGACCATTTATTTGTCCAAGATTTACAGTGAACGGGGCCAAGGTCGAATCAAAGGAAGATTTAGTCAACAAAAAGTGGAGGTATTTACAATAGGTAGTCTCATCAGTCTTATGGCGAGGATGGCGGGAGGATAATCGGGCCCCTTCTATATTTACACTTGGAGGAACGGTAGAAATCCGGGGAAGGATACTTTCGAATAGCGAAATTAACCACAATTGAATAAACCAAACAGGGCCAGAAAAATTCCCCGATGCCTTAGGGGTACTCAAAATGTCGACAGCTTCGTCGAAAGCAGTATATACATGTGCTAATAAAGTTTTGGCTAAACAAAGTCTAGGATGGCCTAGGTGAAGGAGATATGCAAGATTGAACAAATGGGGGGAAATTTGGATTGAACGGGGGCAAAAAACATGGGTGCATAACCAATACACCAAAAATGCTACGTGCTCTTCGTCAGTAACTGCTATCGAAGGGTCATCAACAAAGTGTTTCTCGAGAAAATGCCCATAGGCCTTCGACTCCCAATCTATTTTCGACCTCAATGAATTATCTGAAGGATATGCACCCGGAAAATACCTCTCCCCTATGGGTTTCAACCCAGTAATAGCAGCAACCTCGAAAAGGGTTGGCGACACAGGGCCACAAGGCAACTCCAAAACATGTAAGTCTTTATTCCATAAATGCACCGCAGATAAGAACATCGCCATGTCCAAATGAGACAAATCACATCGGGACAGGTGCAGAAAATCAAAAATACCGGTACTCCTCCGAGTGATCCCCAAACTTAGCCTTGACCCTATCAAACCATCGAATATACGAGAGGTTTTTTGGAAGGAGGGCTCGTCCGATATACCCTAGAAACAATACTCAAGAAATCGATTCTAATTTCGGGTTGGTGAACAAGAGCTGGGCTTTTTGAGAGGTTGAGGGGGAAGTAGCTCTACTACCAAAAAGTATAGGACCCCAAAAGCAAAATTAACCCCTTCGACGAGTGTAAGGGATGAGTACACTGCGTTTCGGCAATTTTTTGGGAAGCCTCTTCCATCGGAGGCAACGGAGCAAA